GAATACATACACATACATACACACATGTGTATTCATAAATGCATATATATATATATATATATATATATATATATATATATATATATATATATATATATATATATATATATACACACTCATACACACACACACACACATATACATATATATGTATATACATACCTAGATAGATAGATATAGGCACAGACACGAATAGGCGCACACACACACACATATATATATTTAAGTCAAACGCGGGTGTCGTAGGGGAGGTCGCCGCCGTGGCACAGGTGTTAGCGCGCCGAGCCGCGGTTGATTTGGAGGGGCATCCAATCAGGCAAGGGTGAAACTGCCATATATTCTCTCAGTAGTGAATTGAGAGAGGCTTATATCCTGCGGTGGAATGAATGGCTGTTAGGGAAAAAAAAATATATATACACGCACACACACACACACACACACACACATATATATACATATATGCTTTTCTGATTTTCTGATGTTAAGACCTACTTCAGCAACAGCGTTTGAAAATTTACCAAAAAATTATTGTGGTATTTCTATGTCGTAGTTGATAATAATCATGTCCAGATTTTACTGCGGTAACTATTGAGCAGTGGTTCCCAACCCTGGGGTCGCCAAGCGTTTTTCCTGGGGTCGCCAAGTCCTCGAACTTAAAACATTCAATTTTCAATTCTAGGATATACAATCACATATTAGTTGAGGGATAGTTGCGAATTTTTCCTTGTGTATTATATAATTATTCAAATGTAGTAGTCCTGACTGCCAATGCTGTATCAAACTTGTCTCTAGCTACTGGAGGCTACAGCCAGACAACGTATTATAATTAAAAAATCTAAGCCATTTAGTTGATCTCTTAGTAAAGATTAGTAAAGAAAAATACCAGTCCTTGGATGCGAGGCTGTGAAAATGTTGTTGCCTTTCGCTTCAACCTATTTGTGTGAATCGGGATTTGCAGCTCTGACTGCCATCAAAACAAGATATAGAAATCGACTGCAACCCGAACATGATTTGAGGGTAGCACTTTCTAAGACTGAACCACGAGTAGAGAAACTTAGCAACATGATCCAGGCCCAAGGCTCCCATTGAAATTCATTTATCATTTCACAGAAAACAGGTACTCCTTTTAGTTTATTTTTTGAGGAATGTGACAGAATATTACTTTAGAAGTGGTTGTTTTGATTAATGTCAGGCTTTAAAATTCACAATGCTGTAGTTCTAATAAAATTCAATTATGTTACTTTTGTCTTTCACAACCTTACAGTATCTCTCTTACACATACTCATAATAGTTGTCGTTCCTTACTTTTATAGCCGACAACTAGTAATATATAGTTTTAATAACACATAGATATGCAACTAAATTATTGGGGTCGCGGTCCTATCTTGAAAAACATAATTGGGGTCACCTGAAAAAAAGGTTGGGAACCACTGCTATAGAGAAAAGGGCAGGAGCAATGACGTCTCCTTGCTTTTCTACTTCTAATGACTTGATAGTAGAAAGTTTGTGTACTTCGTTTATGTTCGTTCTTGTATTTTCCATCGGGAAGGAAGCTTCGCAGAATCAAACGCGTTGGCGAAGACAATAAAGATGATGAAAAGAGATTAGCTGAGTTTTCTATTACCGGTTCGAATCATAAATTTGTTCGATTGTGCAACGACATAAGCAACTCGAGATGATCATTCTCTATAAGATTGGATATGATACAAATAAATAATTTGTAAGTACGGCGTAACTGACTTATTTGTCTCTAGGTAGCACGTCTGGTGTGAACTCCTTTATGAAAATTACCAGTGTAAATGGCTTTTTTGCGCTATTCGGCACATGATCTTCTATGGGTATCGTACCGAAAAGTACTGTAGTGACTTTGATGGCAACGTCTCGACCAACTTGTGGGAATTCGGAGTGAGTCATACCATGTTTGGGCTTTTATTCATTTAAAGCGATTTTGCTCTCCACCTTGTCAAATGTAAAAGGATGTGCATCTTTGAAAAACACTTTGATCATGTTTCAGTGTCTTTGGATAATGTTTTATGAAAGGTAGGCAATTAACTGTTCGATGATAACATCACAGTTGGTAAGTATTTCGTAGTTGTTATTCATAATTCTCCTTTTACAAGTAACACCTATTAGTTTTCAATTCCCTTTACTGCAACATAAGATTGTTTATCCGTGGGGAATCTACTTTGTTTACCACAGCCTATTCCAAATTTAGCTCATTTGTCTTTTCCAACCATTTTCTTGCTTTCAGCTTTACCAATCTTAGATTCGGTAGTGTGGTCTGCATATTTTTACTAATATCTACCATTTTTCTATTGCTGCTCAGTCATCCATTCAGATGTTCTTTGTTTTTTGGATTGGATTAATTAGCTGCATTAGAAGTAACAGTTGTCATTAATATGCGAAAAAATTCTGACACTGTAAACGTCTGTTTGTATGGCTCCAGTATGAGGGTGTTACTTTTTGTATGTCGTGTTTGCTGTAAGAATAGAAATGAGCAAGTTTGTACCCGCTGTCGGTGTAAAGTCTCCTGTAATGAATACATAGTCTCTTTAGGGAATGTTATCTTATAGTGTCACTGATCCAGAGGTAGACTTTAACTTAACATCTTTGTCGCCTTCAGGAACTGTAGTTGGAAACCAACCTTGATTTATTAGTTCTTCGAAAGTTTTCGATGTAATGGTGTCGTCGAAAGATATTCCGATATAGCTTCATATATTTGTACAAATTTTGCGATGGATTTTCAAAGAAGAAATCAACTTTGATCCTTTACTTCCATTTCCTGAAATACGGAGTAGAAGTCCGCTGTTATGGTTGTATTTTTTTCATTTGCCGTGTTTCATATCTAAAAAGTTTTCATTTCAATTGCTGATGATGCGTGTATAATATAAATGATAGTAGTATTCCTCTAACTTTGATTTTTGTCTGAAAGTTTGATTTTTACAGAAGCTTTTATTTGCATTGACTTTATTTGGCAATATCCCCACACGTATTTATAGTGGACACAATCACTAACTATAGGTTTATCTACAGCGTCCCCATCAACATTTTTTTTTTTTTTTGCTGTCGAACTTCAAGATATTTCAAGCTGAAGCTCCGCCCCCACAGACGTGCCAACCTGGCCATTCAGCTCGCCAACACATCTCATCGTAAAATGCTAAATACTTCATATATTTCATTTTGTAACTCTTCCTTTGCCCATTGAGTGAGTATTTAAAAATATTTCATAATGTAACGTATTTGAAAATGGTATACGATTATACAGAAAGGTATAATGTTTATTTTTAGGCTGGAAAGAGTCAATAAAACGTAATAGAATTTGACATCAGGGGCGTTATTTCAACTTTAGCTTGGGGGGGAGGGGGGGGGGGTGTCGGTGAGCACAAATAGTTGGGGATTTTTTTTTTACGGGGGGGGGGGGGCACAGTGAATAACACTCAATATATCATAGGCAAAATCTTATTAGCAGTAAGTGATACTTCGAATAAAATTCCACAAATACAAAAATGAAAATTAAAAAAAAATCTTGATGATGATAATAACAATTATGATAGTAATAATGATGATGATGATTATATCAATAATGATGATACTAATTATTATTACTATCATTATCGTTATTATTACCGTTATCAATATAGCTAAAGTAATAAAAATGATAAGTACAAATATGAATGGTTTTCTTTTTTCTAGAACCAGTTTGCATCTCCAAAACCATCACTAATCAAAAGATTCCTACCGACATCTATCTAACAAACTCTAGCACGCATAGTCGGCGTAATTAATGTGAATGCATTATTTTTTTATTATAATTATTAACATCGTTGCCATAGTTATTGTGTCATTGCTATTATCAATGTCATCGTTATCATGATTATTATTGCATTATTATTTACCGTTTATAATGATCAACATCACACATGTATGAATGTGGATGTCGATATGCAAATACAGTAAAATAGTTGCATGGGGGACAATTAAATTATGACGCATAATTCTAGCATGTGATGTGGCATTGAGTGCATCTATCCAAGAGTCAAGTACCGTGATAATCATATTATTTTTTGTACGTGTAAACAACCCGATGGGGTACGGGACGCTATATGTGTGACGACTATAAATAATGAATAAATAAATAGATAATAGATAAATAATAAATAATAGTAAATAATAATGCAATAATAATCATGATACCGATGGCATTGAGAATAGCAATGATACAATAACTATGGCAGTGATGTTAATGATCATAATAAAAAAAATCACATTGTGCTGATTCATTAATTACGCCGAAACGATGAGTTTTCAGGATTACTAATTTGCCTCCTACTATATATATATATATATATATATATATATATATATATATATATATATATATATATATATATATATATATATATATATATGTATGTATACACACTTAAGAAACTTGGTATGAAAGAATGGAAACTGAATTTAATTTGTGGCGGCTGGCAACAGTATGATAATAATAATAATAAAGAACCATGAAAAATATAAAATCAATAATAATCAAAGAAAAATAATTTATTAGCATTTAATTGCATGTGCTTTTGGTTTGCAGAGGCTGGGCTGCATCGGATGCAGCTCCTCGTTGCCAGGCGTAGCGCCAATAAATCATACAGCATTGAACTTCTAATTCTGTCTCGTTTTCACGAAAAAAATCAGTTTGAAATATATTGAAAACAACATAGACTTTTTTATTATCATATACTTGTTAGTTGTATCGTTTAGCGTGTGTCTGATGAAGCCATACACTTGGCAATGAGTATATAATCTCACCTACATAATTTTGACGCAGTGAGAATGACGTTGATAAAGGGTCAAGGGATGAAGGTGAATACAATAACAGTGGTGAAAACACCATGAAGTATCATGACAATAATTTTAGTGATAATGAATTTGATAATGAATATTAGAGTATGCACAGGCGCTGTGACAGAGATAAATAGTTGCATTATTGCATTCACTAGCAAACGCTGACTAACTCGCACGGGTTCTCGCTCTCTAGTTGCTTTTTCGTATTTTATATCTCACTTAATTTCTCGTAAAATACAAGAAGTATGACAACAAACCTATATTTCAGCCTCCGAGAATTCTATGTACTTCCAGTAAATATAAACCCACGGACTTTGAATAAAATATGATCTTAAAAGGGTATACATAAATGAAAACGTATTGCAACTTAACGTCAGAGATAAAATAACTGTGGTGTGACGTTTTATCACACTGCTCGGATCCGCTAAAACTGAATAACATTGATAAAACAACAGAACACCAGTACTGAAAATGACTATCATTTCGAAAGTGACTGAAAACCGTTTCTGAAAATGAAGCCTGAACTCCAGCCGAGACCTGCAGAGAGAGGGGAAAGGCCCAGGGAAAACGAAATCGAATGCGAAAACGTATTGCGGCTCCCGACTGCGCAGGGAAATGACGTTCTGGTGTGGTTGTAGAGCAGAATACGACTGGCGAGGTAGTTATGCTGTGGAGACAGTTGCTTCATGCTTTTTTCACAGGTAGTCATGCAGGAACACCCTCATCCACACCCTCACGACACAACACATACATACATACATACATACATACATACATACATACATACATACATACATACATACATACATACATACATACATACATACATACATACATACATACATACATACATGCATGCATGCATGCATGCACACAGGCATACATGCATACATGCATACAGGCACACACACACACACACACACACACACACACACACACACACACACACACACACACACACACACACACACACACACACACACACACACACATACATACATACATACATACATATACATGTGAGTGGATAAATATTTTGTGACATGCCTTAAACTGTTTAGAAGAGAGTTAAGATAATAGTTAAGAAAAAAAATATATATATATTCATGAAAACATGAAAAAAATCCATATTATTTATTTGTTTGTATAAAGATACACATTTGTTGTTTAAAAAAGGAGTATTCTATAGATTTTTTATAAAGAATACTATAGATGTATTAAATGATGATAGAGTATTATTAAGGACCTCAATCCCCAGTTACTCTTTAGGTGTACAATGAAAATCATGATAAAATGTTTATTTTTACGTTACTTATAGGTAAGGATGAAAGCTAATCAGTATGCGTTTTGTCAAGCAATATGTAAATAAGAGAGAAGAAAAAGTTTCCTCATAAATCATGTTATCGAGTAATTTATTTATGTAGCAAATACAAAGCATGAATTAAAAAATATAAATGGGCCAAATTATTGCTTAACCCAGTGCCAATGGGCATGACATGTACATACATGTATGTGCTATGCCCACTGTGAGTTTACTTTATTAAATGTTTATATACATAGATGGCTACACTTGTACTAAGTCACCAATGAGCCAATTACGAGTACTACCTGTCCCGTGCGTTTACCCTTTTCCTTGATTTACGATAATATTTTACTTGATCTAGTTTTGCTGTTAATAATGTTACATTATAGTAATTATAATGTTTATGATAAAAATAGCACCATTGATATTCATAGCACTAGTAAAAAATATGTCTTTTCTGCCAATGCAAGGAAAGATGAAATTAGGTAAAGTCATAAGGTCTACTAATTGACTCCTTTGTGGCTAGACAGTAGCAGGGCCATCTATATGTAGAGACATTTCACATAAATATAAAAAAATTAGCACATCTTTCCCACTTTTTATATATTTTCCCAGGCAGCTTTGGCTTAAGGTACCATTATGTCATATTAACTCAATGCTCCCAGGAAAATGCTGTGCTCTTTTTTTTTATTTATTTATCTTTTAATTGTCTCCGTACATAGATGGCTCTGCTAGGGCTTAGCATAAAGGAGTCAATTATCACAACTACAACCTTGTGACCTTACCTGATTCACCTTTCCTTGAATTGGCAAGAAAACCCTTTTTTTCTTCTTCTTTTTTTAACTTGTGCCATGAATATTGATGGCATTATTTTTATTATAGACATTATAATTACTATGATGTTATAGATATTAGTAACAGCAAAATAAGATAATGTAAAATATTTTCAAAAATCATGGAAAAGGGTAAATGGGCAAGAGAGGCAGTACTCATAAATGGCTCATTGGTAACTTAGTATGAGTGTGGCCATCTATGTGTAAAAACAATAAAGTAAACTCACAGTGGTCAGTGCATGTATATACGTGCCATGCCCATTGGATTTGGATTAAAAGTAATAGGTACTAGTAGAAAAATGAAAGTGTAATAAAATATATGCTCAGTTGAAGAACAGACGATGAGAATTTTAATGGTTATATTTGAGTAAACTTTTTTGAAATGAAAAAAAAAAAGATAAAATGTGAAAGTACTCTTGAACCAAAATAATGTTTATATATTGGTGATTTAAGGGAAGTACAAACATAGAAGTTATTATATGTTAAAATTCCCCCAAGTCCTGAACCTAGGAAGCTTTGAGTGTATCCTATATTGTAGGCAGAGTTGCAGAGTTGTTGCATATGTCCTATAGCCCAGTTTGGGGGATATTTATTATTTTTAGTCTGATATTCAATTCAACTTGATAATGTAATGAATACCCATAGTTTCCATGCATGGAGGCATTCACATTTAATACTATAGACCATCAAAGGGGTTGTTTGAGAAGGCACTAATTATTTTCAGGGAACTTTATGTGTTTTTTAAAACTGACTGAAAACGTGAAAAAGTTTACCACAAATTTTTGTAAGAAAATTTATACAATTAAAGCTTAATTGCAGTTTTTTGCTTTCAAGATATAGGATTGTATAAGAATTTTAATGTAAAATAAGAAAAATATACTATTCATTATCAAGGAAAGACATTTTATGTTCTGTAAATACCTTTTCAAAATTAACGATTTGCCTTATATATAATTCTGGTACTAAGCTGTCTCAACCTCCATTCATATGGGAGGAATAAACATCACTTCTATCTCCTGTTGCCTCAAATGCACTTAAGGCAGAAAGTGGGTGGAAATCACAAACTTCTTTATTCACATGTAGATTTTAATAAAACTTGCATCAAAAGTAACCTGAAGGTCATGAACAAGTTTGACATCACAAGGAATAAGCTCCATCAGAAAACCAAATTGAGAAGTTGATATCGGTCTCAAATGATGGCATTTCGAAGACAGTTGAGTCAGTAGTTGCTAAGAAATATGGAGCAATACTCAGATGGTAAGGTTGAAGTAATAGATCTGCATTCTTCATAAAAAAAACCTCAGAAACCATCTTTGGTCAGTGCCACCATGTGAAACTAGACTCAGCAAATATTCTTTCACAGCAAGAATTTAAATGCAAATGATTACAGTGAAGATTTTGGGAAACATGGGGGCAAAGAGAAATCCTGATTAATTTAATTATTCCTAGAACCCTTTGCAAACATGCCAGCATTCCTGACAGGCCAAAATTGAATAGAACTTGCCAATATCATGAAAAAGAGGCATGGAGGTATGGCAGATTCTATAACAGAGATGTTTTCAAAATAGACTACCATTTATTGGGGCTGAGGAACAACAGCAAAAGCCTCATGTAGATACTTATGATCAGCTAGTGCAGTATCTGAAACTCATAAGCAGTCTTTTATAATTCTCACTTCAGCCTGAGTGCAATAAAAACCCACAAATGAAATGCAGATTGTTAGTCATTGAAATCATTTTTACAATAAACATTAAACCATACTTCTTGTTAGCTATGCTTCTGATAATGGGACCATACCAAACCACATACCTGGATGGGCATGGAGGCAGTTCAAGTGTAAAAGACAAAATTGCCCTACTCTTTATGCTTCCAGCAAGAGTGATAGTATGCCATTTTGTGATAAGATATTATCCTGTTGTGAATGGGTGAAGAACATATCCGAACAACTGTCATCTTACAAATAAAATTTGATATATGGTGTGCATTAAACAACCCAAATAAGAAAATTTACTTGATTTTGATCAACTGAATGGTTGTTTAATAACAATAGTCTGAGCATGTAATCATATTTTGGTTGACGTTCCTTCTAACAGAAATATTTACTTCTAAACAGAATATTGTATTTATTTATACGAGACAACTTAATGATTCTTAAAATTGACTTAAAGGGAAGATACAGTCATTCAGCTTCGAAAGGCCTCAAAACTAGGGAAATCATGAATTCAAGACAAATATTTGGTTGCAAATCATCCAGCAGCTTATTGCTAAATTCGAGCTATCTGGATGGATGGATATATGCTCCCCAACCCACAGGGGAAAGAACTCTTACCTTATAACTAACTGGCAGAAGGAAATTGTTAATTAATTTTGCTGCAAATTATTTAGATTTCAATTAAGGGCCAGTGAAGCCACATTCTGACAGATTTATGGCAGATCACTTGTAATTCAGGTAGGCAGGTACAGATAGTCCCCTACTTAAGAACATTCTACTTATGAACATTCCATACATACAAACAAAATTTTTTAAGTACTAAAGTCCCAAAAATTGTTTGAAAGATGCTAGCAAACTTCAAATTTCCCGGGCACGAATATAGTTCAAGAGTCTGGTACTGTATAAGGTATGTCGTACTTATTGGGATTTATTTACAGGTATTCTTAATGTAAACAAAACTTTAAAACAATGGGAAAAAAGGAAATGGAGACCCAACTTTCAACATACATACAAATCAACTTACAAACAGCCTCTCGGTCCCCATTATGTTCGTAAGTTGGGGACTTACTGTACTCAATTCATTGGGTATTTCCCTTTCCGATGATATATGTGTTAATAATATCCGAAGTACATTGGAATACTGAAATATTGGCTTAGGATAACAATGAAGATTAAGGTTAAGACTATTTATACCCTGCTGCTCTGTTCAAATTAGATTTTATGGCTAGAGGGAGTTTGTCTGGTGTGAAGAGAGAGAAAACATGTGCTAAAACTGGTGTAGAATACTTATGCCTCCAAAGAATTACCATCACAAATTTACCCCCTAATAAAATAAAGTTTCAGAAGCCATCAACTGTCGTTCACTAATTGGAGCCATTTGGTGTAAGGATAATTTAATTTATTTAGATTGTCCAGTGGAGAGAATGCCTAGTGAAGTAAGAGAATGGAAAGAGCATCTTCATCAGTGTAAATTTAGGCTGTGGAATTACATGTGGAAAGACAATAAAATGACACATTATTATCTTTTTTTATACACATTTATCATTTTGGTAATATATGTTGGTAAAACTTATTTAAGAAACAATACAATTATTAGAAGGAAAAGTCATCATGATTATGATGTTTTTATTAAAGTTAATAAGTATTCTTCCTTATTTTCTGATATATGAAAGTGGAATTATTGAATTAAAAAATAATTTTTTCCCCTTTTTGCATGGATTTCCCCTTTTTGAATACCAAAATCTGCATGGTGTCAATACATACATAAATATAATAAAAAAAAGAGATAAAATTGCTTTTATATCACTTTATCCCTCCATATGGTTTGGTCCCCATAATGGATTAGATAATTAGATTAGTATTTTTTTTTTCTGATAAATATATGTAAACCACCTGTCATCATACAACAAATGGCATACAATGGTAAACAGATAAATATTGTGATACTGAATGATGAAAACACTCTACCGTGTTGATACTATGGTAGAAAAACCCATAATGTGAAAACTAGA